GAGCTCACCCATGCCGGTACCTCTTTTCTGGTGGGCATCCTGGGAGCCACCCGTGAAGGAGTCTGTCGGGGTGGGTGTCATTGCGCTCTGGTGCAGGGCGGAGTCAGAATTGGTCCTGGGGACAGAAGGAGACAGTGAACGCTGCCCTCACCCCCTGGGCACAGGCCTGCCAGAGATGGGCAAGCCCTGGGTAGGATGGGCAGTATGGGAATTGTTGCAGGGCTGTCCCTAGGAGAAACCCTGGACACTTTCGCTACAGAGTTGCAAAGGGGACTGGGCAAAGCTACTGCTGGTCCTCAGTCCCCTCAGGCAGAGAACAGGACCTTCCTGCTGAGACTCCCCAGAGACAGGGCTTGGACACTTGCTCAGGAGCCCAGTGGTGGTGAAGTCAGCCCCCCTCCATGCCTGGCTGGGGGCCCCTCCTGTGGCTCCCCACTCCAGGACATTCAGAGAAGGGACCATGTATGGCAGGGAGGGAGGAAATCAGAGACACAGTGCTGCAAGAAGGTCCCAGAAGGAATGCTCTCCTTGGGACCCTGAGGAGGATGGGTCGGCCAGGGGGCCATGCTGCTGGGAACCCAGAGGTGGCTAGGGTCCCTGCTCTGGGAACCCAATTTCTAGGAGTGGGCTGCAAGGACAGGGCTGTCCTGACGGCTGGCGTCTCAGGGCAAGTCCCCGAGAGCCCCGGGGCTGCCAGGCAGAATGGGGGTGCTGTGTCTCTCAGGGCCCTCGGCTGCGTGAGCAGGTGGCACAGTGGGCTCTCTGGGGAGAGTAAGCCACGTGCACGGGGGCAGGGGAAGGTCCAGCCACTGAACGTCTTGGTGCAGAGGACATGGCGGCTGTTGACCGTGGCTGGGCTGGCACTAAGGGTCCACCCGCTCTGTGTCCCTGAGCGAGTGTCCTGAGCGCTCTGGGCTCAGCTTCCTTCCGTCTAAGCCAAGGATGCGAACAGCTACCACAGAAGGCTCTCGCCTGCTTTCTCAGTTGGTGTGTGTGGCAGGTGAAACCGAGCCTGGCATGGGAGCGCTTGGTTGCTGGTGGGATGACCCGGCCTCCTGGCAGCCTCCTATGTGCCACAGTAGAACTGTGCGCCCAAGGGATTTTAACGGCTGAGGTTTGGGAAGGAGGTAACCCAGCCTTTCTTCTGAGGCATTTCCGGATAGACTCAAATCTCCACTTTTCTGTGAGCACCCGAGGGCTTGCAGCACGCAGGGTTCCGTGTGTGTGTGTGTGTGTGTGTGTGTGTGTGTGTGTGTGTCTTCCTGCCGGTTCCGATCTTTTCAGATGGTGGTGACGCACGGGCATGGTGATTCTGCCAATTCCCCAGCCACGAGAAAAGTCGAAGTCTACAGTTGGATTTCCACAACTGAAAATGTGCAGCACTGGGTGGCACAGACAGTTGTACCTGCTGGACTACCGGCCACAAGGTGGGTGGGTTCGAGCCCACCCACAGGCACCTTGGAAGACAGGCTTAGCCATAAGCTTCTCCAAGGTTGCCGCCGTGGAAACCCTGGGGAGCAGCTTGCTTCTGCACACGGGGTCACCAGGCATGGGAAATGATGCCACGGCCGCTCACAACAACCACGTGGGCAGCACTCAGAACAGAACGGCACCGAGCGAGTCCGTGGCCTCGTTCTTTTCTCAGTTCTTTTCTCAACGAGACAAGTTACAGAGCGAGGGGAGGGCATGAACTCTGTGGCCTTCCGGGATAGGGCTGGCTTCTAGAAGCTTCTAGTTGCTTCCCCGGTTCTCTTCTGCGCCTGTTGGACTGGCAGTGAGAGGGGCTGGTGCTGCCTGGGCACTTACCTTCTCCAGCTGCTGTCTGCGGGCGGGGAGAGGTACACGGTGCCGTAAGGGCAGCTGTCCACGTGGGCCGGTTAAGGGTCAGCTCTGCGGCTCAGGCCCCAGCCCTGCGACATCCCACCCGGAGCACATGCACACAGGACAGCTGGCTGGGCATCCGGAGGCTTCCTGTGATTGCTCCTGACTGGCCGATGGTGGCTCCCGGAGGACTCCTGTGATCCTAACACCCAGCAATGCTTCTGCCCTGGCCTACGGCCTGAGTCAGCTGACCTGCTGGAGGCTTTGTGCTGAGCTGACCGATCCCACACAACCCCGGCCCTTGGAGAGGCAGGCCTGAGGAAGAGGGGCTTCTCTGGTCTGGGAACGGGGACTTCCCCTGGGCCAGTTTGCCTCTGGCAACGGGGAGAGGAGGGGCAGGGAGGGTCGGGCAGCCCACGTGTGGGGCGGGAGCTAGCTGAAGTGAGATGGAGCCCTCTCTCGCTGTCTGGATGTGCCGTCCCCAGCAGCTACACCCCTCAGGACTGTGTCCCCACCCCCAGCAGCCACTCCGTGTCTCCTGTGACCTCATGTGTCCCTACTCCCGCTCCGCTCTGCTCCCATCTCCCGCTCTCTTCACTCATGTGCTGTCCCCTCTAGGAAGCCCTCCCGCTTGCCCCTTGATGCCTGGAACCCTGGAGAGCAGGGCGGCCCTGCCTTCCTGTGCCCCCTCCATGTCTGCTGGTCACCCTAGGACCCGCTAGAAAGGATATCTGCCGCCCATGCTTATCCACCGACAGGGGCCGGCGGTGCGGGGAGCCGAGCCGGCCGCGCTCCCGGCACACTCTGTCTACCAGCCCATGGTGCCGGGTGGTCCGACTGGTGTCCAAGCCCGTGGACTGGAAGGGAGTCTGGGGTGGGGGTGGGGGAGAGAAATCACACCAGTTACCAGCGGCAGGAGAGTCAGGTATACCCCAGGCCCCGCCTTTCTCCTGGGAACAAAGCTGGGGGGTGGGGGTTCACCTGGGACACCCTCAAGACAGGTTCCGCAGCCCAGGCTAGCTCCTCACCACCCCCAATGCCTCCACCCCTGGGAGGCACAGGGCCCAAGCTCAGGACCAGAGTTGGCAAGGGATGGAGCAGGCCCCCTTCCCCACTGCCAGGTACAGGCAGCCCCCTCCTCCTCCAACCACCTCTTCTACCCCATGTCACTCTGGGCTGGGGTGGGACTGGCAAGAGGGGTCACAGAATGCCAGGACATCTCCAGGGTCCAGCTGGCTGCACAGAAGCCCAGGAACCAGGAGGCTCTGTGCCAAGCGCGGGGCCAGTCCGGAGACATGCCTACCTGGCTCCACCCCCACCGCCCACCACCACCAGCCCTGCAGATGCTTCCCCACAGCCCTGCACCTTCCCATTCAGCACCCCAGGGCCAGGCACAAGAGCCTCCTGGGGTGCAGGTCCCCTGACCCTCTGGATGGACAGACCAGCTTCCCCCCGCCCCCTTCCTTGTCCCAGCTCAGCCCTCTGCTGCCTGGCGCTGGGAGGCCAGGGCCATCTGTCCGGTTGAGAATGTGGCAGCTCTAGTCAGCCTTGACTGGCTGCCCCACCCCCAGCCATCTGGCCTTAGGCCCTCTGCCCACCCCCAGCAGCAGGGCCCACGAGCCCCTTCGAGGTGAAGCGTCCTCTCTCTTCTGGAAGGCGGGCAGCGCTGGGTTCAGGGCTCCCCCTCCTCCATACGCACTTCTGCATCTTCCTCACGGCAGATGGTCCCTATCACCAGGGACCCCCCCTATCACCAGGGCCCCCCCCCACAGGATACACACCCAAGGCCTAGAGAGCAAGGGCAGGCCCTGCTACCTCCAGGGCCGCCCAGGACTGACACTGGTGAAGCTAAGCCCCTGGCCGACCCAGTCTGGTCCCAGGCCGGGTTGGGGGACGTTGGCACCCATGTGTTTCTGAGGCCTCCCCATGCAGCAGGGTGCACATACTCAGAAGATGGGGGCCTCGTGGGTGGGCATGGGACAGACTTGGGAGTCCCAGGGGGCAGGGAGGCTGCATGGAACAAGGGGGTGAGAAGCGGACACGTGTCTGGCCAATGGGCTGAGGGGGTGTACAAGGGGCGTGCCCGGGCCTGGGGTCTCATTCACCACAGACACAGGAGCTGCCACCTGGGCCCGAAAGTGCAAAACACTGAGACCCTCAGGGACCCGCTCTTTGCTGAAACAGACCCTCTCCTACAGGGCGGAGGGGACCTGAGGGAAGTGAGGGTGGAGGAGGAGGAAGAAGCCAGAGGAAAGGGACGGGGATCCAAGCCCCCTCCCCAGCCCACAGCAGCCCCAACTGGCCAGATGTAGAAACCAAGAAACCCGGCCTGTGGGGGAGCCTGCGGCTGGGGGGCATCTTCCTGGGGGGGGGACACAGTTAGAGCCGCTGCCCAGCAGCCCAGATGGCTGAGTGCAACACTGCGGGGGCCTGGGTTGGTTCCCAGCAGTGCAGGGGGTGGGGTGGGTGACAGGGTGCTGGAGGCTGTACTGGCTGGGGGAGGGGGCCTGGCTGGAGGCCCGCTTCACTCCGCACCCTGCCGTCCTTACTCGTCCGCGCTGCTCTGCTCCAGGCGTGGGCCCCAGCCAGGAAACGTGGCAGAGAAGTGGGGTCAGGCGCTGGGGCTCCCCCTTGGGTCCCCAGACTTTCCGAATAGCCAAGTGAGACCCAGCCAAGTCCAGAGGCCAGCCCCCTCCCACCACCCGGCAGGTGGAGCGGCTGCTGAACTTGGCGCCGGGCCCCGGGCTGCTGACAGAGGGGGTGCTTCCTCTGGGGGCGCGGGCGGGGGGGCCGGCCATCATCGAGTGGCCTCGGCTGTCCGCACGCCCCGTCAGCTGCGCTTTCTGGCCTGGATGGAGCAGGCACACCTGGGGGCTCACCTGGAAGGGCAGGTCCGCGCTGCCACTGCCGAGCTGGTTGACGTTGGGCAGGGAACCGCCGTAGTACTGGCCGCGGCTGGGGCCCAGCTGCAGGTACTGGAGCTGCGAGAAATGCAACGGGCCGTGGAGCATCTGGGGCTCCCTGTGCTCGGCCCGCACACTCAGGGCCATGCGATCTAGGGGACAGGGACCGGACTCAGTCCTCAAAAGACACCAGCTGTCTTTGTGCTGAGAAAGGTGCCCCCAGAAAGTAGGGGGGGGGGGCGCTTCCCTCTGAGCTGACTCAGCGTTTGCAAGTGAGTGTGAGAGAGTAGGGCCCTGGATGGGGGCGCGGTGCTCATGGCCACAGCGGACTGCAGGGGGATGCCCCGGCCAGACCAGAAGCCAAGGCAGAGACATGTCACCCTCCGTGGGGACTGGTCCAGGGAGCCCAAGGCCATCTTCTAGACCCGGGCTCCCCGGACCTCCCATGCCCTTCCAGGCATTCAAGTGCCTTGGACGCTGGGTCACGGAGTCCCCTGGGGAGGGCCTGCTAGGATGTGGCGCTCACCGAGAGCCCGTAGTACCTGGGTGCCCCCCTCCCAAAAACGACAAGGCACAGCAAGGGTACTACCCAGGCTGCAAGTGCCATCGGGCCGGGGGCGGGGGACAGGCCACTGTGGTGGCGGCATGCCCGGCAGCCGAGCGGGTTGCTAGGTGCGACACTGTGTACGTCAACAAGGCCGCCCGCCTCCTTCAAAAACAGCTTCTGGCAACCGTGCACACAGCCGCTGGGCCAGCCCCCCCGCCCCCCACCGCCTGGGGGGCCTCGGGGACGAAGGGAAGCGAAGCCGGGAACTGGCCGCCCGCCCGGGCAAGCACCTCACACAGGTAAACAGCTGTTTCCTGCGGCTGCAGGGCCGAGCCAGAGAGAGCTTGGCCTGTTCCCTCACTGGCCCTGTTGGGAGTTCTCCTGGGACTGCCTGGGGTCTGGGCTGGGGGCCTCTGCCCACGAAGACATCCACCGAGACCACCCCTACTCCCTAAGAACGGCTCGAAGCCTGCCCTGGGCCCGGCTGGCTCCCCACTCCTCCTCTGGGCATCTCTCACGGCAGGCCTCAGTCTGCCCTCTGAGGCAGCTCGGACACACGGCGAGCGTCCAGAGCACGCTAGGCCAACAGAGACGTCCTCACAGGGCGGCTGCCAGCACCTGTCCAGGTCAGAGAGAGCAGGCGTGCAGACATGATGGCAGGGCTGGGACGAGAGTCATCGAGGCTACCCACCCCTATTCCTCACAAGACGGATCCCAAGTGCCCCAACCACACCCAACACACACACACACACACACACACACACACACACACACACACACACACACACACGGTAGCCCCCATCCCTACCCTCTTTGCTGGAAGGCTCTCCGCCTTTGGGGCGAGGGAACCTTGTCACGACACTGACCTTCCTTTTGATAAGGCCCCACATGGAGCGAGGAGCCCTGGTGGTGTAGTGGTTAAGAGTTGGGCTACTAACCACAAGGTCAGCAGTTCAAAACCAGCAGCTGCTCCAAGTGAGAAAGACGAGGCCTCTACTGCTGTGAAGAGCACAGTCTTGGATCTGCCCTGGCCCAACGGGTGGTTCTGAGTCTGAAGCAGTTCTGGTTTTCAAATGGAGCTGTGAGGCGCCCTGGTGATGCACAGTTAAGCGCTCAGCCACGGATTCAGGTGGGCCACCTGACACCCCAGTGGTTCTGCAGCAGGAAGCCCTGGAGGCTTGTAGGGAAGTTCGACTCCTATCAAATGGGACTGCGGTCAGTTGGCAACGACCCGGCAGCAACCCCACACCGTGGAGCTGGGAAGAACAGGGCAACCTTGACCAAAGAGCCAGTCTGGCTTCAGACCTGCCTCTTGGGTGACCGCTGCGTCTGGAAGATCCTCCCTGAAAAATCTCTGCTTACCTTGGAAGATCTACCCCGACGATGGGATTCAAAGTGGGCCGTGGGCCACCCCAGATGGGACTCAAGATGGGGGGATTCCTGGACAGTGAAGTATCAGCTCCACCTAAGCAGGGTCATCAGCCATGCCAATGGGACTGACCGCTGGGCACCGGGCTCATGGGGCATCCCTGGTGGACCATGCACTCACTGTCCCCGGGGAGAGGCAAGCCCCCACAGGGCCTGCTGGAAGAAGGCACCTAGACGCTCATGCGGGTCACGCCTCCACGTGCCCCTCTCAAGCAACGAACACCAAAAGGCTCACACCGGTCAATCAGTTCTGACGCATAGTGGCCCTAGAGGGCAGCGCGGACACCCCCGTAGGTGTCCAAGGCTGTCGTTTTTACGGGGGTACAAAATCTCATCTTTCTCCTGAGAAGCGGCCGGCGGGCTCGAAGGGCTGGCTTTGCGGTGCGCAGCCCAGTGCTAACCCACGGCCCCTTCCCAGGCCCCTGGCAGCCACTCATCCAACGTGCCTATCTGGGCCATTTCACAGGAGCGGGACCCTTCTCAATGATGTCTTCAAGGGTCACCTACGTCACCGCACACACGCGCACGCCCGAGTCTCGTTCTTCTTCAGGGGCAGACGGTGAACGTGCGCCGCCGCTCACAAAAGGCTGAAGGTTCAAAGCTCCTCTGAGGACCTTAGGAGAGCCCCCGGAGCACAGCTCGACACGGGCCCCCGTGGGTGGGTCGCCGAGCATTCATACGCCAGTGTGGCAGTGCACCCGCTGTGTTGGCCCGTTCGTCTGCTGGTGGGCATCTGGGCCATTCCCACAAAAGGGGCACCGCGGACCTTCCTGTACACATTTGCAGAGACACGTGCTTCCGACCCTCTGGGGTGAAGGGCTGGGTCCCGTGCCGAGGCTGTGTTTGGCTGCCAGACGGTGTCCCACTGCGGCTGCACCGTGCTCTGTGCCCAGCAGCCGAGGGGAAGAGGAGGGCTCCCATTTCTGCACCTCCTTGCCAACGCTCGGTGATGCTTTCCACTTTCCCGATGGGAGCCATCCATCCGCCTGGGGGTGACATGGTGTGTCACTGTGGTTTGGGCCTGTGTCTCTCTGGGGACGGATGAAGCCGAGCCTCTCCATTTGAGTAGCCTCGTTGGTAAGACGTCTGCCCCAGTCTGTGGTCCTGTTGTAATTGGGCTCGGTGTTTTGGCTGAGTTGTAGGGTTGCTTTACGTGTTCCAGAGCCTAGAGCCTCCTCCAAGACAGGGTGCCTGCCTGGCTCTGCCTCGCCTCTGCCCGATGCTTCCCTTGCTTGCCAACGTCCTCGGCCGCGCAGCCGTTTTGAAAACTTGGGGGCAGTCCGATCCCCCTATTTTTGCTTTGTTGCCTGAGCTTTTGGGGTCACATCCAAGTCCTGAAGCTCATGCCCCCATGTTTTCTTCTGAGAGTTTCCGAATTTTGCCTTCCACGTTTCCGTCTCCTCGGAACGGACGTGTGCTGGGGACTCTGCCACTGCCCCGGCCCTGTCCAGCCGTGGCCCCCGGATGCCTGTGGGCTACGCCCGGCACACTGGAGCCCCTTGACAAAGAGGGAGTGTGTGTCCCACTCCCCGCCCCGTCCCCACCACTACCCCTCCACCCACCCCCCACTCACACAGGCTCCAGCGGAGTTGTCCAAGACGCTGCACAGCTGCCCCGCGCTGGCCCGGAGCGTGTAAACACAGCACAAACACACAAACACACCATGCGCCGGAATGCCTTTAATCAGGCCCACCCGCGGCTGCTGCCAAGTTTCGGGGCTTGGGGAGCGGGGTGTCCACACAGCGCACGTTCTGTCCCCCTTGCTGGTGGTGGCGCTCAGCACAGACACGGGATATAAAGGGGGAGGGGGGAGCCGGTGGGTGGATGCGGCCACAGGGGAGTCCTAAGGGGCCAATGGGCTCCACAGCCCCCCCCCCCACACACACACACAGGCAGGGACACTGCCTCAGGGGCGACGCTCTTCGCTGAGAGCTGACCATCTGGGTGGAGGCTACCCTCCTAATGCCCCCGCCGGCCGCCACAGTCTCTCCTTCTCTGTGTCTCTCCCACCGTCTCTGTCTCTCTAGCTCTGTGTCTGGCGAGCGCTCTCTCTCTCTCTCTCTTCTCTGATTCTTTTTCTCTGTCACACTGGTGTTCGCGCCCCCCCCCCCACCCAACCCCCTTTCTCTCCTTCTTACGAAGCACAGACTTTATTAACCTTTGTTTAAACTTGGTTCCCAGGCTCATCCGCTCACTTGGCTGCGAAGAGAACCGTGTGGAATTCGGCGGAACCTGGAAGCAGCCGCAGCGTCCAAGGGGCTTGGCTCAGACGGAGGAGGGCCAGCTTCAGGAGCGCCTTTCTGAGCAGCCCTCCAATCGCAATCCTCTCCAGCTGCTCTGCTTAAGGGGCTGATTCCATTCCCCTGGCTTTTGGGGGCCCCTTGGCTCCGCACTCCTCCCCGTGGAGTCCCCCACAGGGTGGCTAGACCCCACAACCTGTGTCACCCTCATCTGGGCCACCACGGTCCCCTGGGCCCCGCATGACTGCCTGTGGGCCGGCCTGGCCTCCCCATCTCCTCACTTCAGGGGCCTCCCAACTTCTGGACGGAGCCAGCCGTCTTCCTCCTGGGCCAGACCACATCCCGTCCTACCCGCCTGCACCCAGAACTTCAAGGTCCTGTCACCAGCCCCACCTGATTCTTTTCAGGGGCCCGTCATCCCCTTGCCAGACATGCACCTGGGCGCCCTTATCCTCCCTGACCATCCAGGCTGGGTGTTCCCATGCCCCTGACCATCCATCCGCCCTCAGGACACGTTTTTTGGGGAAACCCAGCCAGCCCACCACAGCGGCCTGAACTAGCGTGCACGGGGGCTCAGCACTGCCCAGAAGGGAGGTCCAATGGGCACTCGCCTCCCACCCACTCTGCACAGCCTCCTGCCCCTGCAGGGGCCTCCCCAGGAAAGCTGACCCGAAGCGAGAGGTCATCTCTCTTTTCAGCCCTGAAACCCACCCCTGGCCCCATGAGGCAGTGTGGAAAGGGGTCCTCGGACCCCTGAGCGGCCACCAGCTCCCCCTCCAGGCCCCAGTCCTGCTCGGGCATCTCTCCCTGCTGCCCTCTGCCAGGCCCTGCCCCATATAACAATGCCGGGTGACAGGAATGATGCGCCTCCCCAAGCCGGCCCCTCCCTGGTCTTCAGTCCCCACATCCGCCTGTTCCTGCCCCTTGTGGTGGTGGTGAGGCTGCTGTCACCTCTGTCCCTGCTGGAGCTCCCTCTGCAAGAACCGCCACCAGGAGAGCCGCCAGCCTTGCTTGCCCCAGGCTCCCCTGGTCAACCATGAAGAACATTCCAGAAAGGTGGGGTCAGGCCAATGACTGGCACAACCCGACCCCAGGTCCCCACCGTTTGGCCAATGATGCAGAGAACAGCTCCAAGCACAGACCTGCATGCTGGACGAGTCCTCCGGGAGAAAGTTCCAGAAGAGGAAGTGCCAGCCCAGGAGGGCCACTATCCAGCTCTCAGGGCTGCGGCCAACCGGCTCAGCACACCCTCCCGTCCACAGCACTCTGAGACCAGAGAGTTCCGCTGACCTGGCAGGGCCTGCCTCCCCTCAGCCTTGGGCACAGGCCCTCCCAGCGAGAGCGGAGAACACGGAGGCTCTGGGAGAGCGGCCTGTGAGCCGCAGGAGGGTTCTCTGCTTGGGATCTAAGTGACAGGGGCTTGGGGAACATG